GGGGGGGGGGGGGGGGCTGATAGCTGGTAGGTAAAGTCCTCCCGTAAGGGAGACTCTGACCTGAGAGGCTGAAACACCGCTGACAGCTCAGCACCATAAAACAGAAAAAAATATACCGAGCCCAACTAAGATGTTCTTGTTTCTGCCTTTTAGACGCTTTTATCCAAAGCAAATCACAAACTAGACATAATGTTCCAGTTCTTATAAGTTCTCTGGAAGGAAAAAAACCAGTCAGAGTCAGTGGAGATGGGAGGAGATAGAGGGAAGTTCAGAAAGAGGAGTAGAGGGTCAGGATAATACTGAGGAATCCAGTATCTCCTGATACTGATGGTGGTCTATAGAGGGGGGTCTGTAGGAGTTTTTGGTGTTCTGGTAGGCCTGGTGGGTCCTTCCTCCATCTTGGAACGACACCTGAAAACAGGCTGAGATCAGAGACGATCCGAGGCAAGTTTCTTACAATCAGAGCAAAGTTTTTAATGGAAAAACAGGGCCGGGGTCAGAGCTGTGGGTCTTAGACGATCTAGAGATTTAAAGATCTGAAGACCAAGAGGAGCGGAAGTTCTCATTTCAATTTATTAAAACCTGAATTTCCCCTCTTAAAATGGCAAACGTGCTCATTCACAAGCACCTGTAGACCTATAAAAGTCTCTCATTCAGTCTTAATCATGATCAAGATGCTAAAAACCACCTACGAATACTTTTAGACTAAAGGATTCTCCTAAAAATGGCACTCTTCACTCGATCTGCTTGATCGAACTGCTTAGGGTTGTCCTTATAGGCACAGGCCTCAGATGGTTGGGGGGCAACTTTTTACCGTTTGACGGGTTCTTTTTTACCCGGATTTTAGTCGGTAAAAACACGACCTAATTCCCGGTTTGGTGAACAAAGGAGCTCCTTTGACCCTCGATACCGGCCGGCTTCTTAAACCTGAGGCCTCACCTCCCACCCGTCTAACTTTCCTCTGTCAACACGGTCTGGGACTGTGTGCCCCCCCCCCCCCCCCTCTCTGGGGCGCGGTGTTATGGTTGGATCACCTGCTGTGATCGCTGGAAGACGATAGCTTTTATCGGGGAAACCGGCCGGACGTAAACATCTGCCGAACATCTGGGCAAAAAAATGGCAAAAAAAGATCAGAACTACACGTTCGGTTCCTCCTCCACTAACCAGGAGGCTCAGCTTTTGGCTCTCTGTGTGTGGGTGTGCGTGTGTGTGTGCGTGTGTGTGTGTGCGTGTCTGTGTGTGTGTGTGTGTGTGTGTGCTGCTCTCAGCTGTTTCCTCGTCTGACAAACAACAGCACGCTACGTTTGAGTCAGCAGCAGCGTTTCCTCAAATCGCCCGCATGGAAACATGCTGCAACACACACTCTCTGAGAGCCACACACACTTTCTTACAGCCACACTCTCTCTCTGAGAGTCACACAGACTTTTTTGATAGCCACACACACTCTCTGAGAGTCACACACTCTTTTTTAAGAGCCACACACACATTATCTTAGAGCCACACACACTCTGAGAGCCACACATTCTTTTTTTAAGAGCCACACACACTTTCTTACAGCCACACGCACTCTCTGAGAACCACGCACACCATCTTACAGCCACACACACACACTCCTAGAGCCACACACACACTCTTTTTGATTGCCACAGACACTTTCTTAGAGCCACACACACTATCTTATAGCCACACACACATTATCTTAGAGCCCCACACACTCTCTGAGAGCCACACACTTTCTCTTAGAGCCACACACACTCTCTTAGAGCCTCACACACTATCTTAGAGCCTCACACACACTCTTTTTTAAGAGCCACACACTCACTCTTTTTTAAGAGCCACACACTCTTTCTGAGAGCTTCACACACTCTCTTAGAGCCTCACACACCTGTGTGTGTCTGCAGGTCTGCTGACCTTTGTGAACTGCGCCTATGTGAAGTGGGGCACCCGGGTCCAGGACTTCTTCACCTACGCCAAAGTCATCGCCCTCATCGCGGTCATCATCACGGGGCTGGTCAAGATCGGACAAGGTACCCCACACCACACACCCCCCCCCCCCCACACACACACACAAACACACACACACACACTGACTCTCTCTGCTCCACAGGCCACACCCAGAACTTCGACGGGCTGTTCGACGGCTCCTCCCGGGACCCGGGGGACATCGCCCTGGCTCTGTACTCGGCCCTCTTCTCTTACTCCGGCTGGGACACGCTCAACTTCGTCACCGAGGAGATCAAAAACCCCGAAAGGTGAGTGTCAACGACACCCCATCGACACGTTTAAAGCTCCCGTTATTTAGAGTAAAACAGGGAAAGGTCAGACAGACAGCTCCCGGAGCTTGGGTTTAATTTCCTGTGACGTATTTCTCCTGCTCCCCCTTTGAACAGACTCCCATTTGTTTTTTTCCCAGGCTTTTAAATCACAGCGTTTCCTCAAACTTTTTAAATTCCTTTGGTGTTTTTGGCTTCTTTTGTCAGCAAGCTCCTGTTTAAAAAGAGTCTGAATTGGCAGAATGTCAAGTTTTGGTAGCCAGATGCTCCTCATACCGGATCTACACCTTTTTTTATGAGATAAAATGATGATTTTTTACCAACTATTATCTGAATTTTAAGCTAAAACAAAAAAAAAAGTCTAGATTTGAGCTAAAACCTGACAAAAAGAGCACCAGAAATGAGCGGATTGTTTGTTAGAAAAGCAAAAAAGAGTGTGAGAGCTGTGTTAGAGCATCCTGTTCTGTTGGGCCCAAAGTCTCCTGTTCCAGGAACGGAGGGGGGATACATTTTTTAGAAAAGCACCAAAGCACCAGTGGCTCCACACGACACCATGCTGATGGAAAAATAGACCGTTTTCAGATCAAATCGCATCGGCCTGACGGACACCGGTCATTATTCAGACCGATTTCCACCTTTTTCTCACACTCAGAATACCAACTCCTGGCTGTTAAACGTGACGTTTTCTCCTTATTTTGCCTTTAAGAAATAAAA